TGGCGGGAGTCTTCTTTGTTGCCAGGAAAGAAAGTTCCATGAGATGAAGGATGCTAGGGTGCTGGTAACAGGAAGTTGAGAGCTAGGGAAACTGGAAAACAGGAAACAGTGGGATCCGGAGCCGAAGCTGCAGGCTCCAAAGGGCTGAGCACCCCACGGAGCTGGGTGACTGAGGCCCAGGGCCAGACTGTCTCTTCCTAGGAGGCTGGCACCAAGAGGCCTCCAGACAGCTTTCTACCACCAGCACCCACCTCAGAAGAGCAGCACAGACCAGGCTGAAAAGTATGATTTTGCCAAGTCAGGAACTGTTTTGCATTATCTAGTGCCTGTTGCCCATTAGCCCCATTCATTCAGAGCATCACCATCTAAGAGAGACTTAGAGAGTTCATCTTCTAAGCAGAACAAGAAGCAGCTTTTGGATGCAACCTTCTTCCAGAGACAATTTCAGTAACTGAAGTAGAAAGACAGCTCAGCTCCCTCGGGCCAGAGGGTTGCCAGCATCCAGTGCTGACCTGTTGACCAACAGGGGACAGAAGCCCTCTCCCAGTGCAGGCCTTCTTCTTCCTGGTGCTTTGAGCATCAGGTTCCTGACCCTGGTGTCCTGCTGCGTGGGGAAAACAAAACATCTGAACACCCTGGAACACCCTAGTCAGAACCAGCTCTCACTGTGACCAAGGGGCATCCAGTGTTGCCTGCTTTGAGGAGCTTGAGGAAGATGGGGAGCAGCTCTTACAACAACAATAACCACTAGCATTCTTGCTTCTTACAGAGCACTCACTATAGGGCAGGCAATGTTAAGCACTTTGCTACTGATTCATTTACAAAAAAAAAGACTCTGCAGTAGGCACCACTGACTCCACTTTGCAGATGAGGACCTTGCAGCTGCAGGCATCTACAGTCTAGGCAGTCGACATCAAGTACCTGAGATCAGTGAGATGGGATTTCACACCGGCATTTTGGGAAGAACAATGTTAAAGGCAGGCGCCAATTGCTTGCAATGCTGATCTCTGACAGCAGGGGGCGCCAATGTCTGAGAAAAGCGGTAAACCCAGAAACAATTGGTGCAGGGGAAGGTCAATGCCCAAAGGAAAAAGGGGGGGGGAGGCAAATGGTCCTTTAAGCCTGACTGCCCCAGGAAAGGAGCTTTAAACTAAACTGATGCAGGCATCTCAGACTCAGATTTAGTGAGCATTAGTTCCCAGGTTATTGAGACTCCCTAGAAGCCCCAGAGCTCTGCAAATGTTGGCTGGGGAAAACCAGCCTTGCCTTTGGGACTCCTCTGGGTCCTTCTCTGTCCCACCAGCCAGGCAAGACAGATGCAACCTGTTTCCTCTTCCTCTCAGGGGGGTCTCTGCTTACCAAGGTCAAGCCCACACCCAAGCTCAGAAGAGGCAAACTCACTGGGACAGAAAATGAGATAGAGGTGTGCTGGCTGCATCTCCGGTTCAGCTGTCTGCACTTGTGGCTCACACAGCTCTCCAGCTCTCCTGGTCTTCGGATCTTCCCTTGTTACAACGTATCCAGCATTCTTCTATTATCCCACTATTATCCCAGTAGAATGGAGATGGCCTATTGTTGCTTTCTATATCCTACCAGGAAGCAGAAGTGTAGGTTACCTCCCTAAACTTCCGTTTCCTCATCATCTGTGAAAAGAGGATGATTATATAAACGTTAAAGGAGGGGAAGGAAGAAAATTGACCAACACAGTGCCTCGGTCATGGGAGACACTAAGGGATGTGCAGGGAAGGAGGCCATGTGGGCCGAGATGAAGACTACTGGCCTTGGAGTCAATGACCTGGATTTGAATCCCAGTCTCCCAACCTGTAGACAGTGTGACCTTGAAGTGATCTTGAATAACCTATAGCTTCAGTTCTCTCAATCAAATAAAGACATAAGAAAACGCAAGCCTTACCTCTGTAAGTACTTAGTGGTAATCAATAACACATCAGATTTTACTTACAACATGAGATAAGGACAGGTAGATTAAGGTGTTATACTATTTAGAGAATGGCTTTTAATTTCCAAAATGTATCAAACAGTCATAAAATAATGAGAAATATTTCTTAGATTTCATATCCATGGAGCAATTTTTCCAAGTGCTTTGACAGTCATTATCTCTCTGAATCTTTACCACCAACCAGGTAATATTTAGTAGAACACACATTATCCCCATTTTAAAGATGAGGAAACTAAGGTTCAAAGAGATTAAATAAATTAGCTAAAGTCCACCCAGATACTCAGGAGAAGAACCAGAAAAGTAATTACCCTTCATATCCCTAGTCCCAGTCTGCAAGGATATATAATCCTATCCCAAGGGTATATTAATTCAGTAGGAGAATGTTATCAAGTGGTATAAGATGGACATTAGGCAAGATTATGATAGGAGGTCAGAGAAAGGGGAGATGGAGGAGGCAAGTTAGTAAATACCATGACTAACCATCCCATCACTGCCTACCACAAACCAGAACTCTAAAGAGAAGAGATGACTCTTACAAATAAATCTTCATGAGAAAGAAAATCTGGGAACAATTAGTTACATACATTCAAATACATTTTTAAAATGTATTTATTTCACCAAAATATTTGTATTCTTACCATACTCCAAGTGCTGTGTAAGATACCAGAATACAGTTGTGGACAAAAACATGGTTCCCACCTTCTGTAACTTTCTTACCTAGTGAGGGAGACAAACAATGATCAAATAATCCATAGATAGATGTACACAGTTATTCCTCAATATCCACGAGGGATTAGTTCCAGAATTCCTGCAGATACCCCCAAGTTCCTTCTATAAAATGGCACAATATTTCCATACAAGTACACACATCCTCCCATATACTTCAAATCATTTCTCTATGGTCATATTCAACATAATGTAAATGCTAGGTAAATACTTCTTCTACTGCATTGTTTAGGGAATAATGACAAGGAAATAAAGTCTGTACACATTCGGTACAGACAAAATTGTCTTTCAAATATTTTCAATTCAGTTGGTTAGGTCCATGCATGCGGAACCCATGTACACAAACAAAAACCAACTGCAATTACAAACTGAGGTAAGTGTTTTGGTGGGGAAGTATCAGGTGTGTACCAGGAGAGCCCCTCACCTAATAAACATGACCAAGAATTAGGAAGGGCCTGAGAAGGCCCCCTTGAGAAGTCTGCAGGCAGAGGGGAGCATGTGTGAAATCCCCACAGTGAGCACAGAATGCCCAGGGCAGGGGAAGGAGGTGAGTGAGCTTCAAGAGACATGGAGTAGGGAGGTGGGAGCACGCCCTGCAGAGGCGCCAAGGCCGGATCAGTCTGGGGCTTGCAAGCTGTGGCTGGGATTTGAGTCTTCTCAGTCTAATAGAAATGTGAAGCTATTTGCTATGGCCTGAATATTTATAATCCCCTCAAAATTCATCTGTTGAAACCTAATCACCAGTGTGCTGGCCTTAAGGGGTAGAACCCCTGAGAGGTGACCGGGTCCTGAGTGTGGAGCCATCATGAATGGGATTAGTGCTTTATAAAAGAGACTCCAAAGAGCATTCCTGAGCAACTCAGCCCTCACCCTCAGCCTGCACCCGTGACTCCTGCACTTGCAAGCGCTAGAGAAACTGGACCAAAATTGTGTAACCCTGCCCGGATGCTTCCCCTAGTCCGTTCTAGCAATACTAACACCCATAACAAGTCTCTCCCTCTGAAGAGGGCCCGCATTCTCATTTGCATGTGTATTTCCTACTTTACCCCAAAAGACCTCTCTCCCTTGAGATATCTTACATTCTCCCATGAATGTGCATCTGTTTTCCTAATAAATCTGTGTCTCTGAAAAATAAGATAAAAATAAGCGACCCCAGGAAACTAGCTAGCTCCGTCCACCCGATGAGAACACAGCTAGAAGCTGCCATCCATGAACCAGCACAAAGGACCCTCGCCAGACACCAAA